TATATATATATATATATATATATGAATGTGTCGAATGCTACCATATATAGAAGAGTGGTTGTAGTGTATTGATTTAATTAATGTATGGAACAAATTAGATAACATGATTAGAAATGCAGTTATGAGTGTTTTCGGTTGAACGATTGAATCAACATCTACAAAACATGCCAGATTGGGAATTGACATGACTGCTGCTGCGTGTACAACAGAATGTGCTGCTTAATAGCGGTGGTTGTTAGTGAAGTTGGCCCAGTCTGAACCCTAATCGCATAAACACTCCGTTTTAGCGCACTATAGTAACATGTTACTCTAATTGGCTAATTGAGCATTGTGCTGGCACAAAAGCCACGCCCTGCTGCGTGTTATGCATTGTATTCTAATGAACAAAAACGTTGTTGCGTAATCTCGAAACTATTACTGCTATCATCGCATTATCCTCGACATTCGCTCATCTTACACAACATCGAAGCAAGTCAACGATTCTATTTTTACACATTCTCTTCCAAACAATCGAAACTCTAACGACCAATCACCTCTAAAGCATTAAATCGCATGCAAAACAGAGAACTAACAAGAAGCGGTTTGAATCGTTTGGAAACATCCTCGAGTTTCGAACCTTTACTAGTTTCACTGGAATCCAGTCGATTTTGAAAACTGTTTAGAATATCACTTGCGCTGAGCCTTGTCTGTATTAAAGAAGAAGCAGATGGCCATATAAGGCCACTTTCAAACGTTTAACATGCCCAGGAATCAAACACTTTGGTGAATGTCATTGTAATTCAAATCAAGAAATGTTCAGCAACATTTTCGATTTTTTTTGTTGAATATTTGGATGCCTCCCATCATTCTGCGAATGACTGAACCTATAAATTGAAAACATTCACAAAATTTGGCTTCAACTTGATGGAATCTAAAGGATATTTGCGTTCGATATCGTTTTACGGACTATTTTCCACAAGAAAGCAATGTTACCCAAAAACAGTGCTCTGATACACACAGTTCGATTCTCGTATACCTCGGATATTTTCACCATTGTTAGGCCCAGCGAGCCGTCGAATGATGCAGCCAATGTGAGCCAGATTTTCAATGATTCAATTATACCATATCGAATTGGATTATAACGGAGAAGGATAACACGCGCTAAGAGTATTTGTTATAACTGCGAATCTTATCGGCTCAATTTCGAAGTCGATATTTTGCAAATGGAATTACACTGTAGATGCTCGCCATGGTCTCTCGACCCTTCCATTCCACATCAAGAATTCGCAAGACTAATGTTGTTATCGCGAAATTTTCTGCTATCAATTCAAAACAGTGATTCGTTTTGAAACTCTGAAGATTTGAACCCATCGAGGGATGCTCTCGATTATGTTAAACAACAGAATGTTTTTGCCATTATTAGCTTACAAACGTAGTTTGTTTCCAACAGAATCGAAGTTACACGGCAATCCATTTTCGATTCCCGTGAAACAATCATAGTTTTCAGTAACAATCATCCAAGCATCACTATTCGAAACCGAATAAAAACGAGCATTCGTGCGGCGACAAGATATTCTGATCATGAGTGAAATGGAATGAGAGGTGCAAGATGTTGAAGCAATACATTTATTGCATAGTCCGTCACGAGCGGCTTCGAACTGACACCTTATCCGCTAACGTTAATCACCAATTACGATTTAAAACATACTGTATTTCCATCAAACCGAGTTGTGAAGTAGCAACGTTTCAGTAACGCCATTAAATTGGAATGTCATGGGGTTACTTGCTGAAAAGTGTTCAATGAACAACGGTCATCGTTCATTTCATCTGGATTAGTGGTTCATTCTTAACAGTTTACATATGTTCGCAACCCAGAAATCGCTTATTATAACCAATAATTTGAAGGTATTGAGGTCAGCGCATGATTACGGTAATCCACGTTACGCCATACGGAATGATGCTGAAATAGGACACCAAAATTCTAGGGTAGCCATCAGGAAAGATATTCGTTCCGTGTAATTAGCGGCTATT